ATGGGCGCTTGGTGCAGAATGGGTCTCGCCGCGCTGTGGGGCACGATGGCACCTTGGAGCTGCGGGTGGCCACGCTCGGGGACCACGGTGCCTTCACCTGCGTGGCCTCCAACGCTGCCGGCGAGGCGGCTGCGCGCGTGGCTGTGGCAGTTCTGCCACTCCCGGTGCCTCACGGCGATGCCGGTGATGATGGTGCTGGTGGGGCTGCTGCAGTGGGACCGGGTGCCTCGGACATGGCGCAGGCCGGGGGCAATGAGACGCGGGCGCCGGGAGAGCGGCGCGTGGTGGCGGCCGAGGTGACGGCGGCGTCGGCGCAGATCCGGTGGCTGCCGCAGCGCCACGTGCCTGGCGTCCGCGTCTTCCAGATCCAGTACAACAGCTCCGGGGACGAGGCGCCCGTCTACAGGTATGGGAGGGGGGTACAGGAGGGCTGGGGGGGGGGGCTGAGGGTCTGGGGGGAGCCGGGGGGGTTGAGCATGTTCTGGGGGGTTCTGGATGGATTTTGGGGTTCCTTGGGGCAGGGTTGTGGGGCTCTGAGGAGCTCAGGAGAGTCCTGGGGAGGTCCTAAAGGGGTACTCCTGATGGGGTTGGGAGGGGCTGAGGGGACACTGGGGGCTCTGGCTTGTCCTGGGTGATGGTGGGGGGGGGCTTTGTGTGCTCTGTGGGCGCTCTGTGGGTGTTCTACAGATGCCCTATGTGTGCTCTATGGATGGGTGTTCTATGGATGGATGGTCTGTGGATGCTCTATGTGTGCCCTATGGATGGGTGCTCTATGGATGGATGCTCTATGGATGCTCTATGTGTGTTCTATGGATGGATGCTCTATGAATGGGTGCTCTATGGATGGATGCTCTAAGGATGCTGTATGGATGTTCTATGTGTGCTCTATGGATGGATGCTCCATGTGTGCTGTATGGATGCTCTATGAATGGATGCTCTGTGGATGCTCTATGTGTGCCCTATGAATAGATGCTCTATGTATGCTATGTGTGCTCTATGTGTGCTCTGTGGATGCTCTACAGATGCTCAATGTGTGCTCTACGGATGGATGCTCTATGGATGGTCTATATGTCTCTCTCTATGTGCCTCGATACGTCTCCATGTGCCTCTATGTGTCTTTATGTATCTCTATGTGCCTCTAGATGTCTCCATGCGTCTCTATGTGCCTCTATGTGTCTGTGTCTGTATGCGCCTCTATATGCTTCCATGTGTCTCTCTGTGTCTCTAGATGTCTCTACGTGCCTCTGTATGTGTCTGTGTCTCCATGTCCCTCCATGTGTCTCTATCTGTCTCCATGTCCTTCTATGTCTCCCTGCATCTCTCTCTGTGTCCCTCCTCGGGTCCCTACGGGTCCCGCAGCGCCCTCTCCCCCGCAGGCTCCTGCCGCCCTCCCGCCGCAGCTTCACGCTGCGGGACCTGGCCGCGGGCCGCGAGTACGAGCTCTGCGTGGCGGCGCTGCGGGGCGGAGGGGGCCCGGCCCCGGCCCTGGCTCACCCCGTGGGCTGCGTCCGCTTCAGCACCGCCGCCGCGGGCTCCGCCTCCGCGCCGGGCTGCGCCGCGCTGCCCCGCGCGCCCTTCCTGGGCGGCACCGCCGTCATCGCCATCGGCGCCGCCATCGCCGCCTCCGTGCTGCTCTTCATCCTCATCCTCATCCTCACCGCGCGCTACAAGGCGGCCGCGCGCCGCGGGCCCGTCCTCGCCAGCGCCTGCTCCCAGACCAACGGCGCCCCCCGGAGCCCGGAGCCGGACCCGCACCCGGAGCCGCGCCCGGAGCCGGACCCGCACCCGGAGCCGCCCGCGGTGGCCCCGCCGCTGGGCTCGGGCAGCCACAGCTTCCCGCGGCGCAACCGGACCCGGCGCCACGGCTCCCTCCCGCGCCTCGACCAGGGCGGGGACGCGGCGCCCGCGCTGCGCCCCAGCTTCGGCAGCACCCATTGGATGCTGGAGAGCACCGTGTGAGGGTGCGGGGGGAACGGGGCACCCTTGGGTGCTCCAGCCCACTCTTGGGTGCTCCAGCCCACTCTTGGGTGCTCCAGCCCAGCCGTGGGTGCTCCAGCCCAGAACTGGGCACTCCAACCCACCCTTGGGTTCTCCAGCCCAGCTTTGGGTGCTTCCGGGTGCCCAAGTGCACCCCTGAGCTCCTGAACACAGCTTGGGTGCTCCGTGGACCTTTGTGTGCTCCAGGCTCCCTGAACTTGCCCTTGGGCGCTCAAGTGAAATCTTGGGTGCTCCCGGGTACCTTTGGGTGCTCAGACTCAGCCTTGGATGCTCACAGGCACCCTCGGGGTGCTCCTGTGGTCTTAAACCCACCCTTTGGGTGTCTTCGGTGCACCTTTGGGTGCCGGAGCCCCCCCTCCCCAGGACCCCACTGCACCCATGGGTGCTGCTGGGCGCCAGATAGCCCAACATGCGTGTGGGCACCGTGACACATGTGTGTGTGGGCCTCAACTGGGACTCGTGTGCCCCAAACACGTGTGTGCCCCCCGACATGCATGTGGGCACCGTGACACGTGTGTGGGCCCGAACAGGGGATCCATGCCCTGGGACTCTTGCGTGCCCTGAACACGCGCGTGCCCCCCGACATGCGTGTGAGCCATTCATACGTGTGGGCCCTCCCCAGGGCCTTCCCTTTGTGGGACCGCCGTGCTCCCCAACCATGCGTGACACACGTGTGTGCGTGCCCCGACACGCGTGCCCGCGCCCCCAACACGCGTGTGCGCCTCCAACACGCGGTGCCTTTGGCCTCTGGGGGTCCCGCACACGCCACTGACATGTCTGCACAGATGACACGAGACCCGCAGCCCCCCCAACCCCATCGGGGGATCCCGGGGGCGTCCCTGGGTGTCCCCCCCCCATGTCCCCTTCTCCCCTCCCCCGGGGGCTCCCATCTGGCTGGTCTGGATCCCCCCCCAGCCCCATTTCCCCTCCCTCTTTTGCCCTTTGACCCCTCCAACCCTGCCCCCCCAGCCGCCCCCCTCAACCCCCCCCGGGCCCCCTCCGTGTTGAACACAAGTTTTTACATTAAAAACCTGTGCCCTCCCCCCACCCCCGGATTAAACCTTTTGTGTGCGAAAAGTGGGGGAGCTGCTCTCTCTGTGGGGGTGCCATGGGGGGGGACGGGTGCTGGTGGGGTCCTTTCTATCTGATACGAGGAGCGCTGGGAGGGACTGCTCATACGAGCTCGGAGGGAATCGCCTCTCCGCCCCCCCCGCCCCCGGAAGCGGCCACACGCAAATGAGCTCATTAACATGCAAATGAACTCATTGAGACCACCCATGAGAGGAGTGAGGTGGGCGCAGAGGGGATGGGTTAGCGCCAGCCCTGTTACCAGAAGACTGCTGATACGGGAGGGGTGCAATGGGAAATAGGCAAATTGATATGCAAATAAGGGGGCAGAGCATGGGGTCGAGACACCCCCGCCCCCCCCCCATCAGGCTTTGGCCTGTTAATTACCTCCCCAGGCTAATTACCCCTCCCAGGATAATTGCCCCCCCCCGCCTTGCTGCATTATGCCCTTCCAATTACTAGTTATGCCCCTCCCTTGACTACTTACCCCCTCCAGGCTCATTACCCCCCTTCTTGGCTTTGTCCCCCCCCACCCCCTTAACTGATCACCCCCTTCCCGACATAATTACTCACTCATGTACATACCCCCCCCCCGACCTTCTATGCCTCAGTTTCCCCAAGGCCAAGGCGAGGGGCAGGTGTGGGTGGTCACATCTGGTCCCTTCCCATGGGACTGGGTGCACTTTGGGGGGGGGCGGCACACCTCCGGGGCCCTTCCCATGGGATTGGGTGGACATTGGGGTGGTGCCATGCCATCTGCGCCCTTCCCACACTGGGTGGCCCCACACGTGCGCCCATTCCCATGGGTGTTGAGGCTCCATCCGGGCCCCTTCCCACGCCCCACCCCTTGCCATGACCTTGCCGGGGGCTATATCTGCGGTGCCGGCGCCGGTGCCGGCTCTCGGTGGCGATGGCGGCACTGTTGGTGACGGTGCTGGTGGCGCTGGTGACCGTGGCTGCAGGGCAGTGCCCAGGCGCATCTGACCTGCAGGCAGCTGATGGGACCCGCGTCTGTGCCCTGCTCTACACCGAGGACAGCGTCTACTACGACAACTGCTGCGGCGGCAAAGCCCTGGTGGTGGACCCCGGCTCTGACGTGCCCTACATGCCCGTGGGCTACTCGGGGCGCATCTCCTCGCTGGTGGTGGGCACCAACTGCGAGCTGACCGTGTGGTCCCGCAGTGGCAAGAAGGGCAACACCAAGGTGTTCGAGGCCGGCACAGTGCCGCGGTTGCGGGAGGTGAAACAGGGAACCTTCAGCAACTGGGATAACGCCATCAAGTCCTACTACTGCAAGTGCAATTGAGGAGCGGGCGTGGGGCCAGCACCAGGTGGTGAAGGGAAGCCAAGTCAACTCAAGTCAACAAAGGTCAACCCAAGTCAACCCAGGTCAATCCAAGTCAATGCCAGTCAAGCCAAGTCAACGCAAGTCAAGCCAACTCAATCTGAACTAATACAAGCTGATGAAGGGCAACTCCCGTCAACACGAGCCACTGCGAGTCAACACAGGGCAACCCAAGTCACTGCGGGCTCTCTAAGCCAACGTAGGCCAAGCCAAGCCGATGCAGGTCAAGACAAGCCAAAGTGAGTCAACCTCAGCCAAGCCAAGGCAACCTGAGGCAATGTGGGCTGAGACACCCCAACAGGTCACTGCAAGCCCAGTGGGTCAATGGACATCGGCCAACATGTGCTGACACACGCTGATGTGGCACTGCCACCCCCCCTCTGCCCACCCCAACCTCAACCAATAAAAGAGCTCCAGCAGCTCCCGCCTCCCCATTGCCTTACTGGGAGTTAGGGGGTGGGAAGTGGGGTCCCCCCTGTCACCCCACATGGTGACGTGTCTGTCAGCTCTGCACACGCATGTGACCCAACACATGTACGTGACCAAACACGCGTGTCCATCCCACTAAAGAAGGCACTCGCCACAGCGCTGTCTCCAAAAGGACATGTGGAATCTTGGGGGGACCCCCCATGTGCCAGCCCCGGGGCCCCCCCAAACCGCGGCGCTACAAAACAACAATATAAATAGCTTTAAAAAACAAAATGGGGGGAAAAACCCACCCAAAACCCCCCAAGAACCAGGTCTGGGGTTATGGGAACCCCAAGATCCATGTTTGGGGTGGGGGAACCCCAAGATCCATGTTTGGGGTAGGGGAACCCCAACCCCACATTTGGGGTAGGGGACCCCCTGAATCAGTAGTGTGGCCATAGGGTTGGAGTTTGGGGGTGCCCCACCCCACTTTGGAGACACCGCATGGGCGGATGGGGCTAAAAAAGTGGGGGTTAGAAGGAGAACGAAGTTAGGGACCTCCACCAAATAGCTCCCCAAGGCTGAGGAGGCCCCCCCTGCCCCCCCAAGACTGCGGTGGGGCTGCTCACAGTGGGCTTGCCCCCTCCCTCAGTAGTACGTGTGTTCCGGGGGCCACCAAGCAGAGTCCCAGCGTGGTGAGGATGAGGATGGTGGCGGCAGCGGCCTCACCGCAGGCGGTTCTGGCGCATGAGGGGGACGATGGCCGAGGGGGGCCCTGCCTTGCCCAGGAACGGGTGCTTCAGCAGCTCGGTGGCCGTGGCGCGGTGGCCTGGGTCCCGCACCAGCATCCGGTCCAGGAAGCCTTTGAGGGATGGAGAAACCTAGGGACAAGGTGCAGAAGTGGTCAGCAGCGCCCCAGAAGGTCATGGGAAGCCCCCTTAGAGGGGTGTCCCCCCCTTACCTTATGAATGTTCTTAAGCTTGGGGGGCAGGTTGTCCCGGATCATCTTCATGGCCTTGAGGGGTGGCTCATTGAAGTACGGCGGCTCCCCATCGACCATCTCTATGACCATTACACCCAAGGACCAGATATCCACCTGTAGAGTGGGGGGGGATGTGGTCAAAGTGGTGTTAACGTGGGGGTGAGGACCCCCCCAAAGCCACCCTGAGCCCCCCAAGGCCACCTCTGGTCCATAGGGGAGGCGGGAGATGAGCTCTGGTGCCATCCAATAGGGCGTCCCCACCAGGGACTTGCGGCGCGGCACCTCCTTGTTCACTTGGGCGCAGAACCCGAAGTCCGAGAGTTTCACCTGGGCATGGGGTGGGAAGGAGGACGTGAGGATTGGGGGGGGCGCACCACCAGAGCCTGGGGTGCTGGGGGGCCCTGCTCACCCGCCCGTCGTGCGTCAGGAGGATGGAGTCACTCTTGATGTCGCGGTGGATGACCCCTTGGGCGTGCAGGACAGAGAGGGCCTTCAAGACGGCCAAGCAGACGGCGGCGATCTGCTCCTCGCTCATCCTGGGGCATGGAGAAGGTTGGAGAGGACACGCAATGGCACCGGGGGGTGGAAGAGGGAAGGTTGTGGTCAACGTGGTGGGGACGAGGCAGGGAAGAGGAGGGAGAGCTGGGGTCTGCAGCCTGGAAAAGACCCTCAAGGGCAGGCAGGGAGAGGAAAGCGGGGCTGTACCTGGTGTGGGTGACGATGTCGGTCAAGGCGCCGCCTTCCAAGAATTCCATGACCACCCAGAGCTCGTCGCCCACCAGGTAGCTGTTGTACATCTCCACCACATTCTCATGCTGGTAATCCCTCATGATCACCACCTGCAGAGGGAGCCCCAAAACCACCCCGGAGTGTTCACAGCCTTGGGTGAACACAGCCTTGGGTACTCATGCAAACCCTTGGGTGCTCTTGAGTGTCTTAAATGCACCCTTGAGTGCTTGAAGCCACCTTTGGGTGCTCCTGGGTGCCCGAGGGCACCCTTGGGTGCTTGAGCCCGCCCTGGGCGCTCACCTCATTGAAGAGCAGCTCACGCCGCTGCTGTTTGCGCAGGTCCATCTTCTTGACGGCCACCAGCTTGCCCGAGCTGCGCACGGTGGCGATGCAGACGACGCCGGTGGAGCCCTCCCCGATCTTGATGAAGTTGTCCAGGTAGGTGCGCGGGTCCCCCGGGTCCACCACCATCTGCAGCGCTGCCCGGAACTGCTCGTGGGACACACGCTGGGGCTCCCGCTGGGGTCCTCCTGCCGCTGGGGGGGCTGGAGCTGGTGCAGGGCCGGGGTGGGGGGGCTGCCGGGCCAGTTGGGGATCAGAGGCGTGGGGGGTGAGGTGTGGATGGGGGGGCGTCTCCTGCCTTGAGCGGGCTGGAGCTCGGGAGGCGTTGGCAGGGCCACTGGAGGCCAGCTCCTGTGGCCGGCCCGGTCGCTGCTCTGCCTGGAGATGGAGAAGGTGTCAAGCACCAACACAAGGTGGGGGGGGTGAGGGTTGGCCCCAAAAGCAAGCAGGGGGGAAGAGGGTGGGAAGGAGGGAGGAAGAGAAGGAGAGGCGGTTGGATCCTTCGGAGACAAGGATGGGGGTGGTGGCTTCAGCCCATGCTGGTCATAGATCAACAAGGTTGGGAAAGACCTTCAAGGGCAGGTAGGGAAGTGACAAGGAGGAAAACCTCCAACTGGAAGAGTTGGATGAGACACTGGGAGGAAGTTCTTCATTCTGAGAGGGGTGGTACACCGGGATGGGTTGATGGAGAGGATTAGGATGCTCCATCCCTGGCAGTGCCCAAAGCTCTATGGAAGGTGCCCCTGTGGGTTGGAACTGGAGGAGCTTAAAACTTCACTCCAGCACCGAAACATCTCTATCAGGGACCCTCATCCCATTGATCCATATCCCTCTGTAGAGCTTCTGCCCCTCTAACAGCTCAAAGCTCCCACCCAACCTGGTGTCATCCATAGAACCATGGGATGGTTTGACTTGGAAAGGACCTTAAAACCCATCCAATTCTAAGCCCTGGCTTCCAATCCCAACCCCTGATGACCACCACTCGTCACCCATCTCCACTTGGTCATGAAGCTACTGCCCACAACTCTTTGGAGTGCCACCATCCAGCCAACCCCTATCCATGAAGCCAAATCCTGCCTCTGCCACCAAGAGTCCAGGTAGATCCTCAATGAAGACACTCAAGCAGATGAGGCCCAGCACCCTGGAGAGCCACTCTTAACGGGTTTAAGGTAGGAAGAGGAGGAAGAGCAGTGGCTTGAGGAGGAGGAGCAGCCCCTCGGGGCAGGAGGACACGTTACCTGCGGGCCGGGGTCGGTCTCAGCCCGGGGGTAGGTGTTGAAGGCCCGCCCGGTCTGTTGAGCTGTTTTCATCACCCCTTCCGAGATGGGAATGTTGGGAGTGCGGATACTGGGCCCAGAGAGCGGGCGCTTGTCCCGGGGGGATGGGGGGCTGCTCCCACCAGCACCCAAGGTGGACTTGGGGCGCTTCTCAGTGGCTTCGGGGCGCTCCCGCCGCAGCACCCGCTCCTGCTTGGAGTCCCTCTCCAGGGGTGCTTTGGGATAGTCGGGAGGTGGGCGGCCGCCGGGAGTGGCTTTGGGAGCGGGGCACTGGTGAGCCTGGTGCTGGCCATGGTGCTCCTCCTTGTCCCAAGGTCTCTCCTTGCCCTGTTCTACCCCATTCCCGGCCCCGGGGCGGCTCTTCCGGCTCCTCCCGGCATCTTCTTGGGCTGGAGCTGAGGCTGGGCCTTGGGAGAGGCCGTTCTCCTGGTGGAGCTGGTGGCGGCGGGGCGGGAAGGGGGGGCTGTCCCTGCGCAGGGAATTGGAACGGGACACGGACATGTTCTCAAACTCATCCAGGAGCCAGGTCAAGGAGCCGTCCTTGGAGGCTTTGCTGCCCCGGACGATGGTCTTGGAGGAGGACGAGGGACGGGAATGACGGAGACAGACACAAAGGAAACAAAAAAGGGGGAAGAAAATAAAAATGAAGAATGAAAATGGGATGCTGGGATGGGGACATGGGTCACACGGAGGGGACACGGGAGGGGAGACGCTGGGGCCACCACTGTGGGGATGAACCCCAGCAAAGCTCCTGCCCTGGGTGCTGGTGGAGATAGATGGAGGTGGGGGCCAAGGATGTGATCCCAGCTCTTGGAAAGGGATCTTAGAGGCAGTGAGGGGTGAGGAGCAAACTCATCCCCAAAGACTGAGGAGGAAGAGAAGGAGGAAGAAGCCTTCCCCTGCACTAATCCCCCTCCTTTTCCTCCTCCCACCAAGGCCTCTCACAAGGGTGAAGGTGGGAAAGAGCTGGTGGCCAACAAAGCAACATGAGGGTGCTGGAGGACACACGGGGATGGGGATGGGGATGAGATGGGAAGGGGCAGCCGCGTGCTTTCCTGGTGGCCACTGGGATTTTTCCAGCTGCTAGGAGAAGCTTCCACCCCTGCTGCTGCTCCTTGTCCCGCATGGCGCAGGGAATGGGTTGGATGTGCCCATTGGAGACCAACCTGCTCATGACACCCGAGGAGAAGACGAGGAGCCTAAAACCTACCACCGCTTCGGCCTTGCAGCCCCAGCAGCAGCCTTCCCCAAAAGGCCCGATGCCGGAGCCAGGGAGCTTCCTACCTTCTGGGAAGTGTGCTGGATGGTGGTGATGCAGACGGGATCTACCAGGGGCTTGGGGCGCTTGGCTGACTCCTCGATGAGGCCCTGCCATTGCCGGGGCAACCCTGTGAACTTCTGCTCGTGCTGGTCATAGCCGGTGTGGACGCGGTGCTCGAAGTTGGAGGGAGCCGAGATCTCCAAACGCTTCTTCTTCTTGGTGAACATGGCGAGGACCTGGCCAGGAAGGGGGGAGAATAAATCATGGAGTCATGGAAAGGGCTGGCTTGGGAATGACCTTGAGGTCATCCAGGGATCCAGCCCACAGGCTTCCGTAGGGCAGCTTGCTCCAGGCTTCAGCCAAGCCTTCACCATTCAGCCTCCATCCTCAAAGGGAGGGATTCCCTCCCATTATTCCATCCAACTCTTCCCGTTGGAAGCTGCTTTTCCCCACAGGCTCCTGGAGAAGCCCCTCTCCGAGCTCTCAAGCTGCTCCAGGGACTTCCAGAACCCTCTCCAGCCCCTCTGCGCCCATGTCCCAGGGTGGATCCGCACTGGTTTTCCTGGTGTAAACACCCGCAGCCGGTACAATGGGACTTGTTTATCCCATGGAAGCGCAGGCTGGATCCGGCCCTGCCAGAGCCATGAGCATTGGGAACGCCCCCCCCGAATCAAAAATTCCAGAGCGGGGGAACTGAATTGTTCCAGGAGCTTCAGATGAATCCACCACATCCAAGGTTAAGAACCAGCCTCTGTGTGCTGGGTATTCCAACCGGGAGGACGTCGGAGCTCCCGGACACTGGCATGAGCCAAGTGCCCCAAAACTGCTCCTAAAGCAGCTCCATGTCCTGAAATCCTGGTTTTCCAGCCCAGCATCCCAGGATGCTGGAATCCTGCTGTGGATTTGTCCCCCTTTTCCCTGCCTTTGGGTGGCACTGGGGCTGTTTCCTTCCATTTTTAGCCTCCTGAATCAGCTTCCTACAGGTTTCCCGGTGGAAAACTCAACAGCTCCCGACACAATTCCCTTTCTCCATGCAGGAAATCCCCGCAGTGCCCAAAACCAGGTTGGAGCAACCTACTCCAGTGGAAGGTGTCCCTGTGGGATGGAGCTGCAGGAGCCTAAAGGTCCCTCCCAACACAAAGGATTCCATGATTATATAGAATCCTAACCCCAGAGCTGTGCGTGTGGATAGGCAGCCAATGGATTCATGGGATTCCTGAGTTTGGGATGGTGGGATGAGCTCTGGAAGTGGGATGGAGCTCTGGATGGTGGGAAGAGCTCTGGAAGTGGGATGAAGCTCTGGAAGTGGGATAGAGCTCTGGAAGTGGGATGAAGCTCTGGAAGTGGGATGAAGCTCTGGAAGTGGGATGGAGCTCTGGATGGTGGGAAGAGCTCTGGAAGTGGGATGAAGCTCTGGAAGTGGGATGGAGCTCCGGAAGTGGGATGGAGCTCTGGATGGTGGGAAGAGCTCTGGAATTGGGATGAAGCTCTGGAAGTAGGATGAGCTCAGGATGGTGGGATGGAGCTCTGGAAGTGGGATGAGCCCTGCAGCAGCTGGAAGGGGTTAAGGAGCAGCCAGCGTCTCCCCCAGGTTCCTCCCTCCTGGCTGGGCACATTCCAGCTCCTTTATCTCCTGCGCCGGCCATTACCCAGCTCCAGAGCAAACAGGAACCTTCCCAGCACCACAGCCTCCTGCTCCTTCCAGCTGGGAAGCCCTTTACCCCACTGCCAAAGGGCTATCCTGCTTTCCAACGCCCCCTCCCCAGCTCTGGGATACGATCCCAAGTTGTTTGGGATCCGCATCCCACATCCCCAGCTCACTCCAGATCCCAATGAGTCCACAGGGAAACACGGAACTGCCATTTGGCAGGACCTTGTTACACGGGGAGCCTAGGAATGGGTCAGGAATGGGTGGAGGGAAGGAAAATCCCAGCCAGGAGGTAGGGAGGGAGTTAAACAGAAAGCTGGGAGCGGGAACAGAGTGGATTTGAGCCGGGAACCAATGAGGCAGCAAAAGCTGGAACAAAGTGGCCTCCGGGAGGCCAGAGACCAGGAACAAGGAAGGAAGGAGAGGGAAAGGGCGGGGAAGAGCTGGAAGAACCCAGCCCTGCTGCCCAAGGGGCTGCAGGAAACCTGGAGAGGGGCTTTGGGCACAGGATGGGATGAGAACGAACAGCTCCAATGGGAATACTTGGATGGGGTACATGGAGGAAATTCCTTCCTCAGACGGGAGTGGGACACTGGGATGAATGGGGAAGGTTTGGATGCCCCATCCCTGGCAGTGCCCATAGCAAGGCTGGAACAACCTGCTCCATGGGAAGTATTCCTGTGGGCTGGAAGCGGAGGAGCTTTAAGGTCCTTCCCCCCCATTCCATGGCTCTGTGCTTTGGGATAGGTCCCAAAGGCAAAGACTCAGCCCCCCCATCCCCTTTAATTTGGTAATGGCCGCCTCAGCCCTTCGGAGCTCCCCCATTCCCCAGGGCTGGAAGCCTGGAAGGAGGCTCCTGGGCGCCGCTGGTTGGACTGGCCCAGCCGGCTTTGCACAAGTCAGCCTTGGGAGAGGCAGCCTCAAAGGGGAGCAGGACAGGGCTGGGAGCTCCGGGAGCTGGGAATGGGAGCTGAAGGAGGCTCTGGGGTGGCACCAGGAGCTGGGGGGGATTTGGTGCCGCATTATCCCTGCGCTGAGCTACCTGCGTGGAACAGGAATCCTGGAATGCAAAGCATGCGAAGCCCTGAGGAACCCCTGCAAAGGGGCCTCGGTGGCTTTCATCCTCTTGTCCCAAAGGGAAACTTCCGGGAATTAGGACTTCAGAGCTTCAGCTTGGCAGCAGGTTAACCCTGAGGAGCAGCTGGGCTCATGCCATAGGATCCTGGCTCTTCCCAGCCCTCTTCTCCCACCTCCCTTTGGAGAATTCAAGCTTCTCCAAGGTGATGAAGGGCTCTGGGGTCCTCAGAGCAGCCGGGAGGAAAAGATGCGAATCCCTTGTGCAGGAAGTGAGAGGAGGAATCCACAATGGAGGTGATGGGAGCCTCCCATCGATTGCAAGGTTCCACGGAATGCCAGACAGGTTTGGCTCGGAAAGGACCCCCAAGCTCATTGGAAGCCATGGTCAGGGACAGCCTCCACAGAGCAGCTTGCTCCAAGCTGCCCTTGGGCATTCCAGGGATGGGGCATCCGAACCTTCTCCATTCAACCCAACGCCCCCCCCTCCTCACAGAGACGAGCTTCTTCCCAAGTCCCCATCCTCATCCTCACCAGAGCTGACAAAATTCCCCTCGGAAGCCCCCAGGATCCGGGACAAATGAGTCCTCGGCCTTGGTTTAAATCCTGTTTGTGTTTGCCCTCAGGACCCCCATGTCCTGCTATGGATGATCCCACCCGCAGAACCCCTGCAGCCTCCCCCCCCCGGCTCCTCGAGGCCAAACTCAACGGGTTACAGGGAAAACCCAACCGAGGAATGCATCCCACTCTTCCCGATGAGCCGAAAGGAGGGAAAAGCCCCATTTCCATGGAGCCAGGGGGTTAAGTGGAGAGGGGTGGCCCTATTTCCATGCTGCAGCAACGGCAGAAAGGCTCCAAGCGCCCCACATCTCCCGGTTTTCCACCCTCCAGAGCGTGGGGAAGAGCCTCACCCCTGCTCCAGCAGGGAAAGATCCCAAAGAACACACGGGATAAGGACGTCCAGAGCCTCCCGGGGAAGGCTTCACCCCCGTTCCCTACCTGTGGGCAAGGGAAGGCTCTTCCCAGCTCAGCGCGGCATCGCGGGGTCCTCGGGGGAAGACGCTGCAGGGACACAAGGCGATTCCACAAGGGAATTCCATGAGGAAACCCCAACAGCCCGGGACTCGCTTAAGACCACTGCCTCCTGGCGCCCGCCCCAAACCCCTTCCCCGCAGGCTCCCGGCCCTGCTCACCCCTCACCACGGGCACGACGCTACCACTGCCCCCCCACGCAGCTCACTCGGCCACCGCCATCTTGCGATCGAGCCACATCCGGGCAATCCGCCCTACCCGCGTTGCCTTGGCGACAAGCACCGCCCCCGCTGGGGGCGGGGATTGGTTGAGGGGGGCGTGGGCGCCGAAGGAGATTGGTGGAGAGGGGAAGGAGAAGGGCGGGGCATCGCTGTGGCGCTGAAGGCGGGCGTTAAAGGACGAGCAGCCAATCACAGAGAGGAAAGCGAGAGATTGGCGTTGGTGCTGGCCAATCAGAGCGCGGAGAGGATGCTGCTGAAGGGGCGCTGTGAGATGGCGGCGCTGTGAGGTGAGGGCGGCTCCGCCGCCGATCCCCGCTGCGGGGCTGCCCCGGGGCAGCGCTCACCTCCCTCTTTCCCCCCACAGACCCCGCCGCTCCCCTGTGCCCGCCCGAAGGATGCCGCTCCGCGCTCTGCTGAGGGCCGCGGCCTCGCTCCGCGGTTGCGGTGCGTATCCCGCCTCCCCGTCCCCTCACCGGGGGTCCCGCAACGTCTGAGCCCCGCTCTCCTCCGCAGTCGCTCCCGGGGGCCTGCAGCCCGCCGCCGGTATGGCCACGCTGAACCAGATGCACCGGCAAGGTCGGCCCAGGCCGCCTCCTCCGAAGCTGGGCGCCACGTTCGGGCGGCCGCAGATCAAGGGGGTGGTGATCAAGAACCTGATCCGAAAGCCCAAGAAACCCAACTCGGCGAACCGCAAATGCGTCCGGGTGCGGCTGAGCAACGGCAAGGAGGCGGTGTGCTTCGTCCCCGGCGAGGGCCACAACCTGCAGGAGCACCACGTCGTGCTGGTGCAGGGCGGCCGCACGCAGGACCTGCCCGGCGTGAAGCTCACCGTCGTGCGGGGCAAGTACGACTGTGCCCATGTCCAGAAGAAGAAGTGAGAAGGGAAGGAAGGGGACAGGGATGAAGCCTGCTATGCCCAGGAGGTGGCCCCCCGGGGACGGAGGGAGAGCGCCTCCATTAAAGGCTGTTGTGTGGATGTGGACTGGTGCTGAGAGGGCCTGGGGCGATGAGGGGGGACGGACGACGTGGGAAGGGGACCGAGGGCACCGGGAGGGGCATGGAGAGTAATGCGGGGCAATGGGGGGTCCGGGGGGGGGGGGACTGGGAAGGGCGCTTGGGGGCGGGGGGGGGTGTCCAGGCCCGGTAGGTGGCGCGCTGGGGGCATGTGTTGGGGGGGCGTGACCATGCTTTGCCCCGCCTTTTCCGGCAAATGACGCAAGCCAGACACCCAAGATGGCGGCGCCCAGGGCGCTGGCTGCAGCTCGCCGGGCGGCGGCGCGGGGGTGGCGCGGTGTGGGGGGGGGAGGCGGTGGTCCCGGGGAGCCGGGCGCGGTGCGGAGCCGCCTGTACGAGCACGTCCGCGAGGGCCGGAGCGCGCGGCCGCAGCTGGAGGTGTCGGCGCTGAGCGAGCGGGAGCTGGAGCGGCGGCAGGGCCCGCTGCGGGGCCGCGACCTGCGCGAGATCGTGAGCGGGGCGGGGAGGGAGGGAGGGAAGGGGCGGAGCCTCGGGGAGGGGGCGTGGTCTGGCCGGAGAGAGGGCGGGGCTCAAGGGATAGGGGTGTGGTTACCGCAGGCTCCGCCCACAGGTACAGACGTGGACTCGGCTGCGGGACGTTCGCGCCGCCATCGCCCGGCTGGAGGATGAGAAGGGACAAGTGGCCCGAGGGGTGCGGGCCCTGATGGTGAGAGACAGCGTGCGCCGCAGCACCCCATAGTGCCCCACAGCACTCCACAGTGCCCTGCAGCGTGCCCCACAGCACCCCGTAGTGCCCCACAACGTGCCCCACAGCAACCCATAGTGCCCCACAATGTGCCCCACAGCAGCCATAGTACCCCACAGCACCCGATAGTGCTCCACAGCATGCCCCACAGCACCCATAGTGCCCCACAGTGTGGCCCACAGCACCCCATAGTGCTGCACATCTGCCCTGCAGTGCCCCACAGCAGCCCACAGTGCTCCACATCCACCCTGTAGTGCTCTTCAGGCACCCCACAGTGCCCCATGGTACTCCACATCAGCTCCATATCCACCCCATAGTGCCCCACAGCACCCCATAGTACTCCACATCCACACCATAGTGCTCCACAGCACTCCATATCCACCCCATTGCACCCCATATCCATGCCACAGCACCCTATAGTGCCAAATAGCACCCCCTGGGGACTCCCCACACCCGTATTTCACCTTTTTCCTTTCTCTCCACAGGCAGCCCATGACAAGCAGACAGTGGAGGCGGTAGGACACAGCAGAGGGGGGGTCCCTGATCCCAGCTGGGGGGTGCAGGCAGGTTGGGGAGGGGGTTTAAACCCCTATTTACCCCCCAGTGCCATGTCCCCCTCAGCTTCCTGCCTATGGAGTGCTCCGGGCCCGTGGGCGCCAGATCCGGCTGGAGCTGCAGGAGCTTCTGGCCCAGGAGGCCTCCCTGGATGAGAGCTTCTACCTGAGAGCCCTACAGCTCCCCAACAACACCCACCCCGAGGTGGTGAGTGCGGAGAGGGGGGGGAGACACTCTATTGTGGTGTCATCCCCGCCCCCGACACCCTCTGTACCTCTCTGAAACAGCCCATTGGGGACGAGAGTCAGGCCCGAGTGCTGGAGGTGGTGGGGGAGAAGCCAGGTAAGGGGGGCGGTTGAAGAGGAGGAGGACTGGGGTGGGGAAGGCTGTAATGAGGAGCACAGGAGGGTCTATGGGGTGATGAAGGCTTCTCCCCTTCCCTTGTCCACCAGTGTTTGACTTCAAGCCGAAGGGGCACTTGGAGCTGGGCGAGGGGCTGGACATCATCCGGCAGCGGTGAGCACTGATACATGTGACACACGTGTGACACACGTGTGACACACATGACACATGCGTGTGCATGTCCCATAGGCGCCTCTCGCACGTCTCTGGCCATCGCTCCTATTACCTGTGTGGGGCCGCGGCGCTGCTGGAGCACGCCCTGGTTCGCTTCGCCATGGCCAAGCTGCTCAGCAAGGTCAGGAGGGGGCACACGAGGGGGTTGGGGTCCCCACAAGGCTTTGGGGGGGGGGCCTCCAGGCTTTGGGGTCCCTGCACACCCCTTATTTCACCACCACCACCACCCCCCCCCAGGGCTTCCTCCCCATGACAGTCCCGGACCTGCTGCGCGGCGCTGTCTTTGTGAGTGCACTCCTGTACCCCCCATATCCCCCGTGTTTATTCCCTCCCCATGTGGGTCACCCCCCAGCCCCCCCCCCCGCCAAACCCCTCCATGCTTCCCATTGTAGGAGGGTTGTGGGATGCAGCTGCACCTCAGCCCCTCACCCGTGTACAGTATTGACCCTGCACGCTTTGAGGACCTGAGCCTGGCTGGGACAGCCGAGGTTGGCATCGCTGGTGAGCAGTGGGGGTAGCTGAGGGTCCCTGGGTTTAATGGGGGGGTCGGGGGGACCCCACTGATCCCATCGCTCTGCTCCAGGGTACTTCATGGACCATGCGGTGCGGCTGCAGGATTTACCCATTAGGTTTGGGGGATCCCCTCTCTGTGCTAACATGGGGGACTCTGGGGATTCCCATTCCTCATAGGAGGAGCTTTAGAGCCCCCCTTCCCTAAGGGGGGGCCTTTGGGAACCCCTCCAACCGGGTCCCCCTTTCCCCACACAGGGTTGTCTGCTCCAGCACTTGCTACCGCGCTGAGACAGACACGGGGCGGGAGCCGTGGGGGCTGTACCGGGTGCACCAGTTCACCAAGGTACTGGGCAGACTGGGAGGGGAAGGCCTGACCCCCCGGGGGCTGGTGTTGGGGTGACGGTGGGGGGGTCCCATTAGTTTTGGGGTCCCTTTGTCCACCCATAGGTGGAGATGTTTGGGGTGACAGCAGTCGAGAGTGGGGCTGAGAGTGGGGCGCTGCTGGCCGAGTTCCTGGCAATGCAGAAGGAGATCTTCTCTGAGCTGGGCCTCCATTACCGGTGAGGGCAAAATGGGGGAGCCCCCAGAGCACCCCCAAACCCTCCTATATCCCTGCACCCCTGCATGTTCTGTCATTGCTCCCTACAGCGTCCTGGACATGCCCACGGAGGAGCTGGGGCTCCCTGCCTACCGCAAGTTCGACATTGAGGCCTGGATGCCAGGACGGGGCAAATATGGGGAGGTGAGAACATGGTGGGGGGGGCACCTCAAAACCTGGGAGACTCCCCCTTTATTGGGGGGGTCCCCAGATTCTTATGCTTCCTCTTTAGATCTCCAGTGCTTCTAACTGCACCGATTACCAGAGCCGGCGCCTCAACATCATGTACAGCGATGGGGCCGGGCAGCTGCGCCATGCACACACGGTGGGTACTGGGGGGGCTGCTGGGGTCCCCCCAATCCCTTTCTGCCCCCCCCATAACTCCCCCTGCCCCCCCATAGGTGAATGGCACAGCCTGCGCCGTGTCCCGCATGCTCATCGCCCTCTTGGAGTGCAACCAGCTACCGGTGGGTGATAGCTGGGGGGGGGTTGGGGCGCCCTCCCCCAGTTTTGGGGTGCGGGAGGGGTTCACCCTGTGCTGTACCCCCAGGACGGCCGTGTGCGAGTGCCCCCGGCCCTGCAGCCCCTGGTGGGGCTGGATGTGATCCCCCGGCCCCCAGCGCCACGCCTGCACTACATTGGCCCCAACCAGCCTGGGGGGGGACCCTGAGGAGCCCCCAAAGTGTGGGGCAGACCCCTCAGTGGCCCCCAACAATTGGGGGGGACACACCCTGGGTGTAGAGACAAGGAGGAGAGACTTTGAGGATGGGGCCATGTCCTGAGGACACCAGACATGGGATACACAGGATCCCCTGGAATAAAGCTCATGGAGCACATGGGCTCCTCCGTGCTTCCCACATGTGTTTGAATGTGCACGTGCAGAGAACATGGATCTACACCCGTGTGGTTGTGGCATCACCCTGGTGAAGTGAGGGTGGATTTGGGGGGGGGGGAGTCCCAGGGGTTGGGACCCCCCCAGCTGATGTGGGGAGGAGGAAGAAGGGGGGGCTATGAAGAGGCCGAAGGTTCTTTTTATTGTACAATTCATATAAATTCTCTATTGCTACCACCGGGGGGGGGGGGAGGGGGGGAATATTGCAGGGGTCCTTTTTTGGGGGGGAGCTCCCCTAAAGTCCAGGCAGCCAGAGCAGGAGCCCCCAGATAAATAGGGGGAGACTTGGGGGGGGCTCAGTCCATGCAGAGACCACTGTTGATGACGATGTCGTCGTATTCCTCTTTCTCCTCATCTTCATCTTCCTCCTTGAGGGGGGAATGACACCCAGAGCTCAGCACCCCCCCAGGACTTGGGAGGGGGAAAGAGGGGGGTTGGAGGCTAAAATAGGCATTATTTTGGGGAAAGAATCATTTGGGATGAGGGAGAGAGGCGTTTTGGGGTGGAAACTCGGTGTTTTGGGGCACTCACATCGCTGCTGTCCCCATCCTCGTCGCTGGAGGGGTCCTGCGCCCCAAAGCGCCGCAGCAGGGGGGCCAGGCGGGGGTCGGGCCGGTGCCGGGCGCTGTACAGTGCTGTGTACCCCACGTACATGCGGGCGCCGGGGTCAGCTCCGGCACGGAGCAGGACCTCAGCCACCTCTGGGCTCTGTGCTTCCACCGCCAAGTGCAGAGGGCTCCGGCCACAGCTGGGCTCCTTTGGGGGGGGGGGGCACAAGCAGAGGTTGGGGGGGGTTAAAGGATCCCCAGGGCTTTGCCCCCCCCCCCTCGCTCTGGCTCTCACCGGTTTGTTGAGGTCGGCGCCGGCGCTCAGCAGCAGCTCCACCATCTCCACATCCTTGCGCAGCACTGCGATGTGCAGTGGGGTGTAACCTGCACAGGGACGGGGTCCGGGGGATGCTGTCACTGCGGGTAGCCCCACTCCAGACCCCATCCCGACCTCATCCCAGCCCCATCCCGCACCGTCGTAGTTGACGCTGTCAAGCTGAGCCCTCGCCTCGGGCTCGGTGCAGGGGTGGTGCCCGCTGAGCAGGAGGCGGGCACAGGCCGGGTGCCCCTCGCGGCAGGCGAGGTGCAGCGCAGTGTGCCCCCCCCGCTCCTGCGTCCCCAGCCCCGCGCCGGCCGCACGCAGCTTCCGCACGAAGCTCTCCAGGCCCAGGATGACAGCGAGGTGCAGCGCGGTCTGCAGGCACAGAGACCCTGTCAGGAAGGGCCGCAACGGGGGGAAACCCGCCCTGGTACGACCCCTTCTCTCCATCCCCCCCGCACCTGCCCCAGGTCGTTCTGCAGGTCCAGGTACTCCGTGCCCGCCGTGTGCTGCAGGATGGAGTCCAGGAACGCCTCGTGCTCGTGGATAACGGCCAAGTGCAGCGCCCTGGGGGCGGGACACGATGGGGGGGTCCCCGTTAAGCCCCGGGTGCGTGCGAGGGACCCGGCGTGGGTGTTCCAGAGTCCCTCCCGCACTCACGTGTCTCCGTCCTCCGTGAGGAAGCCCAGGACGTGCCGGAGCCAAGCACCGGGCTCCGCGCTGGGGGGCGCGGCCTCCGCGGTCTCGTCGGGCCCGGGGCTGGCGGGCAGCGGCCCCAGCGCCCCCTCGCCCAGCGAGCCCAGGCCGCTGTCGCACCACTCCTCGGCCTCCGCCCGCTTCACATCGCCCGGGGGCGGTGGCGCCTCCGCGGCCGCCATCGGGGCCGGGCCGGGCCGCGTCAGGCGGGAGCCGCCATCGAGCAGCCGCCGCCGGCGCCGGGAATCCCCCGACGGGCCCTGCCGTGACCCGTAGTTCGCGCAGCACTTCCGGTGGTCCCGGCCAATCAGCGGAGGCGTGGCTCTAAGGACAATGGCGGAGCTCTCAGCCAATCAGCGCTGCCCGCGCGGTGCACGCCGGGAGGAGTGGCTGCAAGGAAGATAGCGCAGCTCTCAGCCAATCAGCGCTGCCCGCGCGGTGCACGCCGGGAGGAGTGGCTGCAAGGAAGATAGCGCAGCTCTCAGCCAATCAGCGCTGCCCGCGCGGTGCACGCCGGGAGGAGTGGCTGCAAGGAAGATAGCGCAGCTCTCAGCCAATCAGCGCTGCCCGCGCGGTGCACGCCGGGAGGAGTGGCGGGGAGCGCTGCCGCTCCCTATGGCGGAAGCGGACGGTACCGGGGGGGGGCAGCGCCAGCGGCGGGTCCTTGGGGACGAGGCTGAGCGGGACGCGGAGTCACCGGTAGGGTCCGGGTCGGTTCCCGCTGCGGCCCTCGCAGGGCCCTCCCCGCCGCCGGTGTCCGCTGAGCCCCCCTGCGCTGTCCCGCAGGGCTCCGACCCCGAGCTGGGCGCTTCGGGGGACTCTGATAGTGAGTGGTGGGGGGGCCGGGGGGGTCCCGCTCCCCGCACACCGGGGGTGGGGTCCCGGGGCCTGACCCGGACCCGCTCCCGCAGTGGAGCTGCTGCGGAGCCTCCTGTCCCGGACGCTGGGGCTGGGCGGGGAGAAGCCCGAGAAGGTGCTGGAGGAGCTGACGCTGGAGGGAGTGAGCCGCTTCCTGCAGAGCGAGAGATGTACGGGGGGGGGTGTTGGGGGCGTCTGAATGGGTCGCGGGAGGGATTTTGGGGGGGTTTAAAGGGGTCTCGGGGGGTTGGGGGTCCCCGTGGGGCCAAGGTCTGTTGGGGTCCATGGCAGGGTCACCAGCGCCGTGGTCCCCTTTATCTGCCCCCATTTCCTCCCCCCAGGCAAGAACGTGGTGTGCATGGTGGGCGCCGGGATCTCCACGTGTGAGTGCGCTGCAGGGGGCGGCTTTGGGGGGGTCCCAGCATGGAGGAGGGGTCCCTGACACAACCCCCCCCCGCAGCCGCTGGGATCCCCGACTTCCGCTCGCCTGGCACCGGCCTTTACTCGAACCTGCAGAGCTACGACCTCCCCTACCCCGAGGCCATCTTCGAGATCAGCTTCTTCAAGGTAACCCCCTGCCTAGCGCCCCCTCTCAGGTGTGTGTGGGGGCCCTCGGGGCCCCACCAACGCTGCCCCCTCCCCTTGGGGCCCCACCAACGCTGCCTCTTCTCCCCCTTAGGAGCACCCTGAGCCTTTCTTTGCTCTGGCGCGGGAGCTCTACCCTGGGCAATTCAAGGTAATCTCTGCCTTGTGCCTCAGGGTTCCCCTTCTCCAGGGCCCCCCAAACCTTTGGGCCCCCCCTGACCCTCCTTGCCCTTCCTCTCAGCCCACGCTGTGCCATTACTTCATGCGCCTGCTGCAGGACAAGGGGCTGCTGCTGCGCTGCTACACACAGGTGGGACGGCCCAGTGTGGTTCCCAATGGGACTGAGGGGTGCCGAGGCGGGCCCTCGGGGTACCCTGACCCCCCCCCTTTTCCTGCTGTGCCCTCCCCAGAACATCGACACACTGGAGCGGGTGGCAGGGCTGGAGCCCGAGCGGCTCGTGGAGGCTCACGGCTCCTTCTTCACCTCCCACTGCCTGCGCCCGGGCTGCCGGCGCCAGTACGGGCTGCCCTGGATGAGGGGTGCGATGGGGGGTGGCATGGGGGGATGTGAGAGGGGGGTCATGGGGGGACGTGGGGCTGGGTCTGGATGGGGGGTGGACATAGGAATGGATCCTACTAAGAGCTGGAACACCCCCCCCTCACATGTACCTTTGGGTCCTCCCTTGACCCGCCCAAGTTCTTCTGTGCTCCTCCTGTGTGCCCCCATATTCCTCTGACCCCTCTATGTGCCCCTGGAGCTCTCGTGTCCCCTCATGTCCCTCCATGCCCTCCACATCCCCCCATGGCCCCCCATGCCCCCACCTCTTGCAGAGCGCATCTTCTCCTCGCTGGTGCCCAAATGTGAGCAGTGCCAGGGCCTGGTGAAACCCGGTGAGCTGGGGGGGATCCCCCAACCCTGATACTCCCCCCCAGTCCTTAGGGCCCCCCAAACCTCTGCTGACCTCCTGTCTCCCCCCCCCCCACAGACATTGTGTTCTTCGGAGAGAGCCTCCCCTCGCGCTTCTTCACCCTCCTGCAGTCGGTGAATTTGGGTGGTCCTGGAGCCCCCCCTCCCCATGACCTGGATTAGGATTTGAGGGGGACACACCCCAGTGCCCCCCCTCCCTTTCTGACACCCCCTTTTCCCCCCCAGGACTTCCAGCAGGTCGATCTGCTCATCATCATGGGCACCTCACTGCAGGTCCAGCCCTTTGCCTCCCTCGTCAGCAGGTTGGGGACCCCCAGACCCTCCAAACCCCACCATTAATGCTCTCAGACCCCCCCAGATCTCCTTTAACCTCCTCCAACCCCTTTCAACCCCCTCGAGCCTCCCCATAACTATTTCTTGTCCCCACCACAGGGTCCCCACCAACACCCCCCGGCTCCTCATCAACAAGGAAAAGACCGGGCAGGTGAGAAATTGGGGGGGGGGGGGGGGGCTAAAATTGGGGTGTGGGGGGTGTAGATAGGGTTTGGGGGACTCTGGGGAAGCAAGAACTATTGTGTACCCCCCATTTTATGTGGTGTCCCCCACCAGAGTGACCCTCTTATGTCCCTCATGGGCTTTGGCTGCGGCATGGACTTTGATTCAGACAAGGCTTATAGGTAAGGGGGGCTTGGGAGGTTCGTGGGGGGGTTGTCCCCCCACCCCAGCATGTTTTGGGGATTCCCCTTTGCCTTCACCCCCCCCACAGGGACGTGGCTTGGCTGGGAGAGTGCGACAAGGGGTGCCTGGAACTGGCAGAGCTGCTGGGATGGAAGGTACTTACCCCCCCATAGCGATCTGCGGGACCCCCCTTCATTAATTTGGGGAGCCCCCCACCTCTGCACCCC